CCAATGGCCATTCCATGAATCAGCCTGCAGAATTAACTGGGTTCTTCTTAAACAAATGTACCATTTTATAAATTCCCAGTCATTTCAGTAACATAGTAAGACACAGTAAGACCAGTTTCTTGTTAAAGTTCATCAAGTTAACAGAAAAAAAGTTTATAATTCCCAGGGCTCCGAGTATATGTATAGATATCAAAATAAATTAAAACAATACTTTGCCATTATTTACTTTTAGACAATTAACTTTAGCATCTTTAACAAACAATATCATTTCATTAATGAGAACAACATTTGAAAGTCATAGGAACCCCTCATGGATTTTAATTTTAATATGCAAGACATGTATCTAGATTATATTTTACATGACTACAGAAAACATATAGAAAATAGATTAGGAGAGTGGAAGAGACAGAAAGGAGAACTGGAATACCTTTTCAAGGAATATCTCATGGTCCCATTCCTTGAAGACCAGTGGGAGGGAGAATCTTCAGAAATTTGCAGAAGAGATCAGTCCTGTATCACTAGTTGCTCACCAGTGCTTTGTGACTAGGTCAACTAAGCAAGCATAAACTCAGCAAGCAAGTGGTTTTCCAAGCTCATGGTCCCCCTGAAGTTGGGGGCTCAGATTTGTTCAGAGGATAGGCATTTGTATACCATTTCTTTCTCTAAACTGATTCCAGCTGTTCAAGAAAACCTGGGTGATTCTTCCAGTCTGTTAAAAGGCCTGAAAGATGTCTCAAAGAGTTACCTAGAATAAGCAAAGATTGGCAAGAAGGGGGACGTTCACAGCTAGGAGCCCAGCTCTGGCAGCTCCCCTTGATTTACTTCAGCCTGGAATTGAGATAAGATTGCAACATAAAGTTTCTTTCTCCTTGCTGGCTTAAAAAAAAAAAAAGATTTTTATACTGGGTCTCTCCAATGTAGGTAATTCAGAGGGGCAGTTAAGTCACTTAACCCAAAAATTCAAAAGACTTCCCAGTTCTGATTGTCTTAGAAATATGCTTGGGAATATTTACAAGATTATCCCTTTCCTTTTACATTCACAGTGATGAGCATTGATTATATTTCTAATCCAATTAACCTTTCAATAACATAACAAGTTCTGGGCTACATGATTCCAGATGACTATTAGATAGAAGCAAAGATATACAGAAAACTTCAACTCTTTACTACCAGTTAATAATCATCTAGGGTTTTGCAACCAAGCGATGAAAGCATTTTCAGTAGGATGCCAAGTGCTAGTTCCATTTCTCCAAATTAGATACTCCTGGTTCAGCATGACATTAGCATCAAACCTGGCAGAAAATGAAGTTTGCAAGTGGAGGGGTAGAAAAGGAGAATAAGGCAAAAAGGATTTCTTAAAGAGTTGTTCTGCAGTAACCCCATATCTCCTCCAATGTCTACTAGATTACATCAGCTTTTCTTTCTGTATAAGACTAAATTGGTGCAATATTAGGATTTCAGAAATAGGATTAGGAACATCAGGGAGAATTTAAAAAGGCAAGGTGGTAGCTGTGACCATGTGATCTAAGTCTGAGCCCCTTAAGTGACTCACATATGCAGTGTACATAAAGAGGATGCAGGGCTTTAATCATACAATTGTGGCCACCATCTTGACCTTTTAAACACCTTCCCCCCTCCAATGGATACTCCTGGGTGAGAGTTTCTCAGGACAAGATGAAAGGCAAAGATTTCTGATCAAATTGGAATTATGACACTCCCTTTCCTACCCACCCATATGTCATTTTCATCTTTTTAATCAGAAGATACAATCACAAATATTGTATGTTACCTCCTTCTTGAATTTTTGTTTGCTGAATTTTCATGAAGGTATTATGTTTCTCTTCAGCCACCTGCATATGGTCAGCATGGATTGTTACATGCTATGTTAAGCTAATAATTTATAATTCATCAGCACTGAAAGGATTAACTTTATTTTTATACTTCATTTGTCATAATATATAAATATATTAGCAATAAAAATACACAAATAATGGAATGCTTAATCACATAAGATAATTGTTAAAAACCAAAACAGGTTTACAACATTAGTTCCAAATTTTAATTTATCTAGTAATATCTTGTACTGAAAAGTCTTATTTCTTCAAAGCCACAACTGCATAGCATCTGGGGGATTTTATCGCATCAAATAACTTTACCAGTCCAGACCAGGCAACGTTGTCCTGTAAAATGATATTTGATCAAAAAACATCAAGAAGGGATCTTGAGATCTCAGATATGGCAATACATTGAAATCTAAGGGAAAAAAAACTGACTCATAAATAAAACATGAACAATAATTAATCCTCCAATATGGAACATCAACTGGTAAAATGGTGTATGAAGGAAACAACTTTTCAAAATGACTAGTTGGAAAAGGTGCTGCTAGAGTCCTCCTGATTTTTTGGCACCACAGACTAACACAGCTTTCTTCCTACAAAAACTTTGCATATTGGATAACCCAAACTGGACACTCAGTAGTAGCAGTTTAAAAGTATGTACTAAAAAATCATGCTTTGCTTTCAGTTTACCAACCAGAACTTCAATATTCCCAAAATGGGAGAGAAAAAGAAACCTCTTTTTCAGAATTAAAGATCCCATTAGAATTAAAGAATAGTTATACTCCCTAAAATCTATTTCAGATTTTTCTGACAATTGTTGTAACATAATATCCTTTCCTGAATATTCTTTGCTGACAAAGATCAAAGACTTTCTTCAATGTGTTTATCAGAACTAAACCAGATTGTGCCTATTTTATGTATGTGTATTCATCATCACCCCATGAATAAATAGAACGCCTTGATTACTTAGAAAATAGAAGTCAATACAACATATGTGATGACCATTAAAAAGAAGAACAAAAACAATCTCTGGAAGAGCATAATGGGCAATTATTCACAATGTTAAATAACAAGTTTGCTATAAAACCCTTTATTGGTTTTGCCTCAAGCCAGTGGGAAATGTACCTTTATGTGCTGCCTGAGTTAGTCACTATACTAAACCATATGACATTACCCGTGGTTTACCTACTCTAAAAACTAGACATGTTTCTACTGAACTATTCTTTTACTTCAACATAGTTACTTCTATATCATTCTGGATAATGTATATATCCATTGTAAAAATTGTTAACATAGACTATAGAGCAAAATATTATTACATCCCCTTTAATCAACCAGGCATTGTCAGGATATCTACTGTGTAGATATACTACACAGTATATCTATTGTGTAGATATACATATCTACACAATCACCAGGCACATATGGGTGGATGACATACTGTTATCTAGAATGGTGATGAAGCAACAGCATTGCTGCAAGTAGCATGAATCCTAAGTCAAATGTATCTGCCATGGAAGTACTATCTGTTATAGACAGCCACTGGATGAATATTCAGAAAAGTATGATCTTTAACTCTAAATCCTTAACTTACAGCAAGCAGTAATTCACAAAATAATTTTAGAGTCACTTATTAAAAATTACTTAGGGTTTAAAATTCAAAATCCACCAAGTATAGAAATATTTTTGAAACATAAATGTAAGTCCTTAAAGAAAACAATTGTTTGAAAAAAAACAAAAATCATTTACTATTTCAACTATTAATAATTAAGATATCCATTTAGGTAATATCATCACTTCATTACTAGTAATTTACCATACAATTAAAATAGCATAAAAACTTTATTACAGCAGATTTCCCCAAAGTAAAAAAATCTGCTGGGTAAATGATCAATATGATGGATTGGACCCTCAAAATTTTGGCAAATACGTGAAAACAATTATTTGCTCCTTTTAATATGGAGATATAATTTGCTTCAAATACACAAAAGAAACCCTAGAAGGTTGATAAATCCACCAAGAATTACCTGTTCTTTGAGATAGCAGAGACGATCTAGAAGTATCAACACTTCTATGCAAGGTCCTAGAACAACTTTCAGCTAAAGAAAAGATTTAAACACAACTGAATCACATTTTCTAAAAGGTACCACTGGAGAAGTCGGAAATACTGCCCACAACAGAGATTTAGATTTCTTATTTAAATGTTTGAAGGAAAACTCCCCCGTGATCTCATTACTTCAAGGATATTAATTATTAGGAATGCATGAATCAGCTCCAGCCCAGTTCAAATTGTCGAAGGCTTTCACGGCCGGCATACGATGGCTGGTGTGGGTCTTCCGGGCTGTGTGGCCGTGTTCTTGAAGTTTTGTTTCCTAACGTT